AGTTGCTACACTGCCCAAAAGACAATAGAGTTTTTGGAGCTTCAAAGCATTGAATCGTTAGACCAGTGGTTCCCAACCTTTTTCGGCCTACCGCCCATTTTTCCAAAAACAAAATACTTAACGCCCCCCTTAAAAAACTCTTCCATTCTTAAAATTAGTATCGCACTTTCATTCACAATTTTTTTACCTTTTTTGGGTCAAAGGCTACCTTAAATATGATTCGACGGCTCCTAAACTAATCCAAGCAACAACAAATTTAAAAAAAAAATGTTTTATTCAAAAATACAGTATTCATGTATTGATCAAACTTTAACTTAAATACATATCATAAAAAACAATATAATAATAATATAACATTTTTAATGAGAAGGCTGAGCTTGATGAAATGATAGTAATCTGTCAATATTTGGTTCCATACTTGTCATCAGCAATCTTAAATCACCGCGCTCCACTATGGACAGTCTATTTCTCTTCTTTGTTAATAAATTGCTGACTATGCTAAATCCTCTTTCGGCTAAATACGATGAAGGAAAGGCAATGAAAAACTTCTTTGATGCAGCCCATAAAGCTGGATATAATACTGAAATTTGACATTGCAGCCAAAATTCTTGGTATCCATTTTTAAATTTCACTTTTAACTCTTCATTTGTTGACAATTCTATCAATTCCTCCTGTAGTGATAATTCTGCTGTTTCTAAACTTGAGAACGGTTCTAGCACCCAATCTGGAATAATCAGACCAAGGATATCCTGAAATCTATTCCTAAAATCTTCTTGAAGTGCTTCCAAGTGCTGGCAATATACCAAAATGTCTTCATCATTTGTCTCCACAGAGGAAAGATTTTGAAACTGATGAAATTGTCTCCGACCCAAATTTTGCCTATAGAAATTAAGTTTTGACACGAACGAGGAAATAGTTCCTTTTGCTTTGATCAAATTCAAATTATCACCTTGTAGCTGTAGGTTTGTTTCATTAAATTTATCGTATAAATCAGTTAAATAAGCAATATCGCTCTTAAATTTTAATAAATTGTCTCTCAAAGAATCATCTTTGCTTTCAAAAAACTCTAAAACTGAGTCAAAGAGATCATAAAATCTTTTTAGACAGGTACCCTTCGAAAGCCATCGAACTTCTGTGTGCAACAATAAACGATTAAAATTCTCGTCGTTTTCATCACACAGTTTTCTAAACAATCTATCATTGAGAGCACTGCTTCTGATCTTGTTAACTGCAGTAATTACATATTGTAGTGAACAATGAAGGCGATCACTAAGATTTTTTGCAACTAAATGCTGTCTGTGAATTACACAATGCACGGCGAGTATATTTGGTACCGCTTTTTTCAAATATGCTATCAGTCCGCGGTATCGTCCAACCATTGCCGGAGCACCATCTGTAGCAACAGTTATGACATTTTCCAGAGGTATACCTTTATCTGTAAAATAGTGTTCCAGAACATCAAATATCGATTTGCCTTTAGTATCTGTTTCCAGTGTTTTTACAAATAACAGTTCTTGACAGATTTTTTCACTTTTTATGAAGCGAACGTACGCAAGAAGTAAAGACTCATTGTTTGGCAGAGTTGATTCATCAAGCTGTAAAGAAAACTCAGTAGTCTTTAAATAATCAGTTAGAGAACGCTCCACATCCTCAGACATTTCGTCAATTCGTCTCTGTACCGTATTATTGCTTAATGGAATTTTTTTAATAATATCAGATGCCGGCTGGTGTAGTACCGTCCGCAAAACTTCACTTACAGCTGGCAGTATTAATTCTTCGCCAATAGTATGGGGTTTTCCTGATTTAGCTATAAGTAAGGAAATGTTATAAGAAGCACGTAGCCCATCATCGTCTTGCTTTGATGCTGCTGAAAAGATACTAGCTAAAGTTGGACGTTTGAAATGTTGTTTTTTGAGCATTTCAAAATATGATAAATTTCTCTCTTTTCTGTCGGGATGTATTTTGGTCAAATGTTCTTGTAATCGTGAAGGTTTCATGGCTTCATTTGAGAAAACTCTCTGGCAAATTAAACACATTGGTAATGCCTTATTAGAAGGCGACTGAATAAAACCATACTTCAAATATTCGACATTGTATTGTCTGCACTTTTTCTTTGGATCGGACATACTGTAGGTATATCTGTAAAAATAAATATGCTGTAGCCACCGCTTTGATAATTTTAAATAATAAACTTTTAAATATTTTTTTAGTTCGCAAAATCAATATTTCAGAGTGGCGGAATATCTAAGCAAGTAGTCGAGAAATTTAAAACATGCCACAAGTAAATAAATATACACTGAGAGAAGAATTTGAGGAAAAATTACAAAACAACTTATTAAAAATTACCATACTGTACACATATTATAAAAATAACTTTATATTCAGTAAATGGTTTATTTTTGGCAGTCTATGATCAGATTACTATTCAGTATAGTAAATTTTATTAAGATTTTTTGTACTTTTTCCCCAATTCTTCTCTCAGTGTAGGTAGGTCCTAATTAACTTTTTACTTTGATCCAGTTTGTGCAAGTTGGTACTTTTTGAATATTTTACAATAACTATACGTATAAGGAAACAAATTTAGGTTTATTACATTTTTACAAATACCTCGTAAATTACGATAGGGAAAAATAATAAAGAATTATAGTAAGTGATATAAATACCACGTAGATACTTACCTTTGTGACAAATATGTATTACAATAAAATATATTTCTAATAAATGCACTGCAACTTTCTACAAATAACACACAGAAAATTCACCACCCTGCTTTAGCGAAACAATCTCGAATGATTAAGTTATGCCTGACCATGCCGCTGCGCGAAGGAGGTGCCAAAATTCACTTAAAGCAGAAAGATTCTACTGGAAGTGGAAATTATACTAACCAAACTGAAACGTTCTACGTTCGACTGCAACGTCGAAATTGTTGCAGTGTTGGACTGAGTGATAAATAAAAAATTGCACGGTGCATAACCAAAATGCATTTTGTGCATTTCGTTTATATTTTCGGATTGTTAGAAGTTGTTAGAAGCAAAGAAGCAATGAGTTACTTTAGGGGGCGGCAGCTGTTCCTCAACGCCCCCCAAATTTTCCTTGGACCCAAAAAGCCCACTTATCTCTCTTCAACGCCCACCGGTGGGCGGTACCGCCCCCGTTGGGAACCACTGCGTTAGACCATCCACTGTATAGCCCCGACCTAAGTCCCAACGACTTCTTCACGTTCCCGAAGAGCAAGAATTTAATGCATGTGCAGCGATTCCAATCGCCAGAAGAAGTCATCGATGCCTTTAAAACAGCTATTTTGCAGGTGTCAACTGAAGACTGGAATAACTGTTTTACCAGTTGGTTTAAACGCATACTTTGTTTACAATGACTAGAGTACGAAGACGCGCCAATTTCTATCAACTGAACGAGCTTGATAGGGGGTGGGTTCTAAGAGAAGCCGGACTTTCTTTTCGGGAAATTGTGAATAGAATTCACAGAAGTTTAGATACTGTGTTAAGATGTAATTGGGCATGGAGTCAAAAAGGCTGATCACGAACATCGAGGAGACAAAGCGGCGTCAAAGAATAACAGAACCTCAAGATCGTTACCTAAGGTTGATGGCTCTGCTTCTCCACTAACAGTTCTATTGCAAGTCAATGGTTTGCGGAACGTTAAAAGAAACAGTTGGGATGAGAACAATTTATTCGATAACTTAACATCGACGTAACTAACAGTCGATAGAACTTAACATCGACGTAATCGTCTTGAATGGTGCAGAGAACGATTGGGCTTGGGACCAGGAAGGGGCTGGGGTTGTCTTTAGTCTTATCTAGATTCTGTTTAGAGATACATGATAGCCGAACCAGGATCAGACGACGACGTGGTGAAAGACGAAATCCACTGTTGGGTTTATGCTGTGGGGTGCCATGGTTTTAGGTTTAAGGTCACGTCTAATCTTCGTCAGAGGGAACTTGATAGCTCAGCGATACGTAGAAGAAATTCTGTAACCTGATCTCATACCCTACCTTCAAACGTTACAACATCCAATTTTTAGCAGGATAACGCAAGACCACATATTGCGAGAGTCACCACGGACTTCTTTGAACAGACTATCGTTAATATTTTGCTACAACCACCGAGATCCCCAGATTTATTCCCAATTTAACACGTGTAGGACATGATGAGTCTGAGGATTCTTAATTTAGGGTATCTTCCTGAAACTTTGAGAGCACTTCGGGAGGTGTTAATTAACGAAATACCCCAGGAGGATATTGACCACCTCATGGGAAGTAAGCCCAGGCGCATCAAGAGTGTATTGCCCGCCGTGGTGTCAACATATTATTAATTGATTTACCCGCGAAGTTGTTTCAATCAATTTTGATAGATTGTTAATTTTACTACCCTGTATAATTGTACAAATCATTGTGAGAGTGTTGGGATCTCTGTGCTACTTAGTATATATTGCACCAAGATTATCCTCTGAATGAAAGTCGCACATTAGTGTGGTGTATGGTAGATGTTATCTGAAGGCGATAACTTATTTTTTCCCCTTATACAAATAGTAAAAACTTCCGAACATTGGAAGTAAAGCTTTCATAGCGTTTACTTCATGTTTATTTTATGCTTTTTTTTTCATTTTTTCACTGGATAAATAGCTATTGACCTAAAAATGGAATTTACTTGATGGAAATTCGTTATGTTTAAGAAAACTAATCATATTTCAGCTATATTTTTGAAAAACTTCCACGATATTGACATATTCGTGACATGTTTTACAGCTTTGTGGCTTCTTCAGATATTCAGATACCACAGATGTTAAAGTTAAAATTAAATTATAAATTTGAAAAAGCTACAAAGTGAATTTGAATGAAATTTACAATTTTCACACTTTCTGTCACTTGTTTTTTTATTACTTCTTTACTTAAACTGGAACTTTTTATTAATAAAGTATAGTTTTGTGAATTAATAATTTTATGTATCTACGGAATATATTTATCAATGTAATTTCTTTTTAGTCTGCACACATGGCTGTTATAGAAATGATAATGAATTTATACACAAAGGAAGTTGTGTCGGCAGATAGGGTTCTTTCTGCAATATATAGATTTAAGCATGGGAAAGGTCCAGCGCCGAATATACCAGATAATGTAGTGGATCAGCTCTTACAATGGGTAACACATGCTTGTGATGCGATGCGAATGAGGATAGAAGAAGAAATAGGTGAAGAACAAAATGGAGGAGACGTGAGTATTTTTAGAGTTTGGCTTTTTCAGTTACGGAATTTAAAGTAAAAGAGATCCAAATTATTTTTTTATATTTAGCATGAGTACTTCAGGTTTCTTTTTCTCTTCTTCAAGTGCCCTGTCCGCCGCTAACGTTGGCGTGAACTGATGTGAACCCGAACCACTTTCGCAGATTTTGTAGCCCTGACTGTCGTCTCCTGCTTGCTGTTTATATTTCCCTGGATAATCAATTGAAGTAGACACTACTTATCGTGTCCCAATATATGGCCTAGATATTCAAGTTTTCTTTGTTTAATAATTGTGCTGTCGATTTCTTTGTCATTTCCAATTGTTTGGATTACCTTTGGATGTTACATAATGATAATGTCATTTATCAAGTTGAGATCCGTGCTGCGCTGCAGTGATCTTCCAGTGTTACTATATGGAGTTGAAGCCTGGACACTGACACAAGCCACAGAAAAGCGGATTGAAGCCTTCGAAATGTGGATCTACAGAAGGATACTAAAAATATCGTATGTGGACCATATCACCAACGTTGAGGTCCTACAACGCATGAGAAAAGAAAAAGAAGTGCTTAATTTAGTGAAACAACGTAAGCTTGAGTACCTCGGACACGTGATGCGGAACGAAGAAAAAGGTCGAATTCTTCAACTCGTTATGCAGGGTAAAGTACTTGGCAGGAGAGGACTGGGACTCCGTCGTATCTCGTGGTTAAAAAACCTCCGACAATGGTTTGGGATGACCTCCGCGGAGCTGTTTCGCAGAGCAGTCAACAAAACCATGATAGCCTTGATGATCGCCAACATCCGGACCGGATAAGGCACTGAAGAAGAAGTTACATAATGTTACTTATACATAAGGCTCTATATAGTTGATTAATATGTTGTTTATCTGTAACTGTTGCTTATAAGTTTCCATCCATTTTGTCTTTTTGAAATTGAGGCTCAGGCCGTAGTCTTCACTGACTACACCCTTTCCATTGCCTGTTGAAATTCATCTTTGCTACCGGAAATTATCATCGTGTCATCGGAATCTCTTACGTTGTTCGTTAACTCACCGTTTATATTATTTTAGTTTATTTTTTTTAGTTTATTTTGTATACCTTAAGTTTAATTTTTCCAATTAAAAAATGTTTCAGTAATTTTGGATTTAAATCTCCTACCGTCTATATCATGTTGTATTTGGCTATTTTTATGTCGTTGTTTAACATTGTTGCTACAACAACTCTTGTCATCTTTACAACAATTTTAAAATTCTCTATATCTTGTTCAAAAGTATTATTTTGTTTTGATTTATTATTGGTGTAATTTTTTTAATTAAATAACAATGGTTTGCTTTTACATCGCAAGCGTACTTTGTAATAAGAACGGTGTCCTTTTACATAGCAGGGGTATTCTGATATTTCTTCGCTCTATTGCTCTACGCTCTATTGTAGCGTAGGTGCTAGGAGAAGCCCCTACGCTATAATACTGAACAATTATATACATTCGAATTGTCGTGTCAATGGTCCCGTATTCTGTTGTTCAGTTTAACGATTAAAATTGTTTAGTCTAGTTACAGTTTTAAATAAAATGGAAAAATAAGAAAAAAATATGTGGAATTTTTTTGATCAAAGATAGACGTTACCGAGGGAATGAGATGCGAACAGCAGATTACAACGTCAAAAGTAATTTTTTAAAGCATTGCGCTTAAACATTATTGTTCTGATTTTCTCCAACGTTCTGTAAATGCTCCAATAGAAGTTAAAGACTTTGGGAAGCAGTTGTTGGATAAGTTAAACCAATTTCCAACTTATAGAGGAAAATAAAGTATATACGGAAGCCACTTTATTAGATCATCGTTTAAAAAGGCATGGCTTCAGCAAAAAATCCGCTTTTGAACAATCAAATTAATCTTTAGTGACATAAGTAACTGCTTATGTCACTAAACTAACTAAAGAATAAAATTCAATAAACCCCACACCACAAACTGAAGATCATGGTATGGAAGAGACACAAAAATCTGTGTGGGCCGCTTTTGACAAAAAAGCAAGTAATCTCGTGCAAACAAATAGTCCAAAAGCGTCAACAATAAGACTACCTTGTATCTTGAAAAGTACCTTGGTGAACCTCTAAAAGCTAGAAAGGACAATCGGTTGCAATGGTGAGATCAAAGGAGTCATATTTATCCCCATCTATTTGAGTTGATCAAGAAAAATCTCTTCATTGTTGCTACGCCGGTTCCATAGAACGATTTTTTTCAAAACTGGGACTTACTTTGACAGATCAACAGAGACTGAGCTCTTAGACATTTTCAATTGCTATGACCCCACATTCAATTTACTCTTGAAAAAGAGGATCTAAACCATTCTGTTTCTTTTCTTGACACAATGTTCGCCAGAGAACTCAATAACATCATTACAATAGATTGGTATACAAAACAGTGTAACTCTGGGAGATATCTCATCTACCATTCTTACCACAAGTCAAGCATGAAAGTTAATCTAGTTAAATAAATGATCACAAGAGTTTGTAAACTAGCTGACCCTGTTTTTAGAAAGAAGAATATCAAAATCCTTTTACAATTGTTCCTAGATAATTCTTACCCGAATCCTTATTCAGGAAAATCATCTTTAACACATCCTCTGTTATACTCAACACACAAGTGAACCCTCCCCAAAATACAGGTGCTATGAAAATTAGCTCTGATTCCCATTCACTGACTAACAATATTCCTAAAATATCTTTTGTATCACTTCCATTTATTAAGGATGTTTCTCCCAAATTGACTAGAATTTTTGCTCAATACTTACCAAATGTAAAAATTGCTAAGTACCTAACTCAGATAAAAGTGATGTTGTATACAAACTTAGTTGTTTAGGCTTTGAAGGTCTTTATATAGGTCACACCTCCCAAAAAGTTTCCAACCGTTTGACTCTTCACAAGAGTGACGACATTAGGTTACACCCTGATAATGTTCCCTAGCCACACATGCTAACACAACAGGGCACTCTCTCGATTTTCCAAGTGTAAAAATCCTATCCACGGAGAGCAATTATTCAAAAAGATTGTTTCTCGAGATGGCTTTCACTTTTCAAGAAAAATAAAACATTAATAAAAAGGCAGATACCCACAATTTAAGCAACTTATTCTCATTATTGTTAACTTTAGACACAAATCTACCAATAAAGGCAATTCATCGTCAATAATATAAGTTTCATTATGAGATATATAATATTTCTTCTACTTCAAAATAAGTCTTTTTGCCATTTCTTTTTTAGAAAATTCAGCGTCTATTAGGTATTCTATTACCTTTACATTGTTATCATTTTAATATCTAACGTTCTGTCGTTTTAAGTTGGTAGTAATGAATTCACAGCCAATTCTTTTGTGTCTATATAACTCTACTTGTACATCTTTTAACAATTTTATCAATTTAAATTTCATTTTAAAAAAATTGTAAATGTAGCCTAGACTATTATGTAAAAAGCAGTTTGACCTTGTTTAATATGACTAATTTTGATTCTAAATATTTAATGTATGTATATATTTGATATCATTGAGCATTTATTTATATTTTTTAATAGGGTGACCGCTTGAAAGTACCAGAGTTTTCGCCATTGAGAGATTTGAAAGACTTGTGCGACGGTGTGGCTTTAGCAGCGCTTATTTCATATTATTGTCCTGACGAGTTATCGTGGACTGATATTAGGATATCTCGCGTTCCATCCGTTCAGGACAGTATATACAATCTTCAATTACTACAAGATTTCTGCAGTAGATGTTTGCCTTCTTCCATCTTCCATTTAATGCCGGAAGATATAACGTATATGCGAGAGTAAGTAATTTTAAAATGTAATGGGTTTATTATTTAAATTAGTCATCCATACTACTATCTATCATTCAAGATAAAATTGTACACAAATAATATGCAAAATAAAAATGTCAACTTCAAAAAAACTGTTGTAAAATTCAAAATTTTGTTATGCTAGACTTGTATCAAAGAATATATATTTCAGGATATTTCAAATGGGCGATTTGTCGTGGTTATTATACTTCAAAACACTCCTGTAGAGAGCGACAGCATGAACTCAAATCGTGGCCGTCGGCCTAAAACTAAATCATGAAAGATAGAATTAGGGGCAAGTGGGAAGGAGTACGAACGAAGCTATTTAGCTCATACATCCGCTATTAATAAAATTTCAATGCCATTGATTTGCAAACTGTTTTTTTGTTTGTTTATTTTTTTCCACAATTAAATCTTTATATTTAATATATTAAATTAAATGTCACATCAATATCAATAAATAACAAATAGAGCAAAGAAATCAAACAAGTTATACTATGCGTTAGCCCCAATAATGGGAAAAAGAGAACTTACACGAGAAACAAGAATAAAAATATATAACACAATAGTGATACCGACTGTGCTCTATGCAAGTGAAAACTGGACAATTCGGGAAAAACATAAGAGCAGGATAAACGCAATGGAGATGAGACATCTAAGAAGGATAGTTGGAAAGACAAAATGGGATAGATTAAGCAACGAGACTATTAGGAGAATGGCTAACCAGGAACCGATAATGAACAAAATAGCAAAGAGACAAATGAACTGGTATGGGCATCTGATGAGGATGCAATCCAATAGAATAACAAGAAAAGTTTATGAAGCAAAAAACATCGGAAAAAGAAAAAGAGGCAGACCAAGAAAAAAATGGATACAGCAAGTAGTAGAGGCGGGAAAACTTAAACAAAAATCACTCGAGGAATTGAAAATAATGACAGGAAACAGAAAAGAATGGAAGAGGTGGGTAAATGGAAATTAAAATAGCTAGCCCAAATTTGACACCCTGATAGGGTAAAAGGAAGGGGAGAAAGTATTTATTTATTTAATTACTTGTAAATAAAATTTTATAACTTTGAATTAAAAATAGGTTTGTTCCAACACGACAAAAAACTATAACGTAACTTTTATAATACCTTTTCCTGTCCAAAAAATGATCTACGAAACTTTTTAAAAATTTCAAAATATACTCAACCAAAAATTTCAGTTTTCTCAAAACTTTTCGTTAAACTTTTTAAACTGTTTTTGTATTTACTTTATTGAACAATTGTCTTGTTTAAAAAAGTATTCAGTGAAACTTTTTACTAAATTTTGAAATTTTCTATTTCGCCGAAATTGTTCAACCATAGTCATTTAATAAACCTAAAAGCATACCTGAATTAATTTTGAAATATTTAACGGTAACTTTTCATGAATACTCTATGGGAAAGTTTTCACGCTAAACGGGTGCTATTTAATCTTCTTTTAAAATAACTACTAGTAAAACATAATTTTCACAATGAATAAATATTGGTGCAATTATTACAGTATAGTCTTTAATTTATCTATAATTAATTGAACATAAACTGATGACATTAATTAAAATTAATTTTACGTATAAATTTATGACATTTTTACTAAAATTAATCTTCATAAATTATTTTTTATTCATATACGAATAATACACGAATATTCATATATGAATATATGAATATACGAATAAATGATTTGTGCTTTAATCTTACCTAAACAATATTCCAGGTTTGTTTGATATACTTTCCAATTTGTTTTACGAGAAGTGCGATAAGTTTTCTTGATAGTTCTTGATAAGTTTTCTTGATTTGCCTGTTATTTCAAAATATGTCAATAGTCTGAACAAGACACCTCATCTAAGACATGCCATGTTTTAACAATTTGGTGTTTGTACTGCCCCAGGTCAGATGGTACGAATTTGCATTACAGCCAATGATTAATTGCAGTCCATTTTTCCTGCAATCTCTCACTAGCTGTTCCTACTCCCTAGATGGTGGTGTGTATGCTGATCCGAGAACTATGTGAAAGGCCCTTGATTGTCTTAAAGGATACTTTTCCAAGTTTATAATATGCCTTAAAATGAGTAGTCTTTCATACTTTATACGAGACCTCGTCAATTGTATAGACTAGGGTTTGCGCGTCCTCCCCGATCTTTCGATTTTTTAAAAACCCGTCTCATGTTTTAAGGTCTTTATTTCGCCTCTTTAGACGGGTCCTGATGGTTTCTTCATCAGCCTCTTTCTAAGGAACGCAGGTGAGGACCATGGAACGCTTGAGCAACCCAAACGGGCTATCACAATTACATTACAGAACGTTTTCGGAATGTTAATTCCATCATCAGTGTAAACGGGGTATACATGCTATGAGCCACCAAAATATATGGGTCAAAACCCGTTAAATGTTATAAATTTATAGTTGTTTTACATTATATATAATTACAAATTAGGATGTTTAAGTTACCGTTGGAATTGGTAACATGGCGACGTATGACCCTACATAGGTTATATGGTACTGAGACGAAGTGTCTTCGGAGCATATTATTTGGTTCAACTATATTTAAGTTTGCTTTCTCCCACAGGCCCTCCATAGTCCTCATCACTTCAGTAGTCCATTTTTTTGAATACTCGTTAGCACAGTTCACCCACAGTTCCCCTTCGCTTAACGATGTTTTATGGAACTGCAGAAGTTTATTCTGATCTCCGATAGTAGCATCATGAACTGCTTGTTCCGGTTTGTTAATGATCAGATCTGCTTGAGCCCGATCTAATTGAGTATGAGGATGATGTATGTGTGCCATTACCATTCTGGATACTTTTGTCACGTTGCTTTATGACCTAGTCTGCTCGTTAGAGCCCCTTGGTTTCTTATCAACTCTGTTGCGAGGGGGGTGATAGTATTCTTTTTATCCTCTGGTGTTACCGATTTGGATTTGCTATGGTTCATGTCCCAGCAGTTATATTGGTCTTTTTCCTCATCTCCTTTTTTTTATGTGAACGAATTTCGAAATTTGGGATATAGTATGATTTAATTTTCATATAAGTATTTCTCATTCATAATCTAATACCAAGATATAAAATGTTTGTTTTCTTACAAAATTATTTTAAGTTTTGTTTCGTATAAGTAATGTAATTATAAACAGCGACTGTTTATTTCTTTTCCGGATGACGTAATTCTCCTAGAATCTTTTAATAATTTTTTATTCGTTAGGATGGTGCCCAATTAATTTTAATTTTAAATATAAACAGCTTTGTATATGAATTTTGAAAGAACCACACTCAAACTCTTCCCGTCACGAGCAAGTGCCTAGAATGTTTATGTACGTAAATAGTTTGATTACGTTACAAAGGCAACATTTAAAAACACTTTAAAGAGATCATTTTATGTTCTGTCTTTCGTTCAACCTTGGCCTTCCTGGTTTGATTTCAATTTGGCATTATTAAATCTAGTCTTGTGCATAGTTTTATTACATCTCGATAGTCCCGGTTGGGGTTCGGTATTTCTAGGTGAAGTTCTCTGTAGAGTTTCACCACAAATCGACCGTTTTGTTTGTGAAGTCGTTCTGTGCTCAACTTTAAAATTCAAATTCGACTGCTTCGACACTATCATCTTTGGGTTTATTTAAGTTCATTACAATATGTATATCTGAAACTTCAATGTTATCTAGCTGAAGCTGAAATTATCTTTAGTTATCTAGAGAATTATTAGGATCTATTCTTTGTCAATCGTGGCAACTCTCAGATATGCTTTGTTAAAAATGGAAGCAAGTTTAAAATGTGTGATCTTTTCATGAGTATGAGTTCTCAGATACAAGTCGCACTCACGGCTTAAGGCATTCTTTAGAGGTTCAAAAAAGTTAGATCACGAGATTGAAGCCTGTGTGAGGTAAGAGGAGGAAGTGAAACCATAACAATTCCGTGTGATCTGCAATAATTATAAATCTCCAAAGAAATGTGACTCCCATGGTTATCCAATATGAGAAGCACGGGATCTTATTTCGAGGCTTTTATATGCTGACAAAAATGTTTTATCCAGTTTAAAAATAAGTCATTTATCCAACCGTTTTAGACCATCTGTACATTGCTCCTTTTTGGCTTCCTCTCATTAATTGTGGAATACTTTCGAGGGAATATGAGCCTAGGAGGGTCAAACTGTCCTGAAGCATTTACAGCGCATACTAAAGTAACATTGTTCTCTCTTTTCCAAGATATTACTGATCCTACTTGTTTTTGACCTTTTGGTGCCAAATTTTTTATGGTTTCTGGAGCTTAGAAATGCCCGTTTCATCTACATTAAAAATTCGACTAAAATTCGAATCGAATAAATCGAAAAGAAAATTTGAATTTTTCCGTAACTGTGAGTAGATTGTTAAAAAATCGTTCAACCTCATCTTTATTGAATGCAGAAATGCGCTTTTGACTGGTCTCTTTGGGGTTTTTAACATTAATGTCTGGAGAACGTTTTAAAAAGAGTTCTAACCAATCTTCAGCAGTGATTTTCTTTATCGAGTCGAAACGGTGTTTTATTTTATTTGCTTCAGCAAACTGGTATACTAAACGCCTTAGTTCTGCCGATATGAGTCCAAAAAACATATTCGCCATTTTTTAACACGATGGGCTATGGTGGATTTCAGCTCATCATTAAAAATTGGTTTCTGCTAAGTGTAATTTTTTTATGACTATTGGACTTTAGTCACGTAGAGTGGATTCTGGAATATTGAATGATCAACCTACTTCTGTTATTTTTTTCGCCCAGACCGTATAGCAGTGATAGCAGCTTTTAATTCATCTTCTGTGCATTTTGATTTTTCGAACATAAACACGAGGCATTTTAGAATCTAAAAAGCAATACAAACACTATATAAGCAAAAAATCTCACACAGGGTAATACTGCGCATCGCAAAATTACCCGACACAGCTGACTAAATACAATGCATTGTTTTTGTACGTGAAATTATATATACATATAAAGCAAAAGATTATTCGAAAA